CTTGAGTGTGTGCGAACGGCTGATGTGTTGGGACCATAGACTGTATATATAAATGGACGTAGGGTCCGTGACGTCACCCATAGGATTCTGCAGAGTTGCCGTGAAGCCCTTAGTAGGCGGAGTCGGCCACTAACGGCTCGACAGTGACGCCAGAGTTCAACTCCCGCCTTCTCCAAATAAGGGCAAAGAGGCGGAACCTGCTGCCACCGAGCTGGAAGTTCCAGAGCTAGCTGAAGCTACCAAGCTAAGCTAACATGCTCACCATCTGCACGCTGCCGTCGCATTTTACGTTTCTAAGGTAAGCAGACATGAAACTATTCAGCAAAACTATAAATAATAATCTAAGTTATTGAGCTTTTAGCATAATACTTCAGAATCTTAAAACCCCTTAACGTTTGTATGCAATTGTGCTAAATTCAACACTGGAATCAAGCAAATATTAATATGTTTGCATGACATTAGTTATTTATATTTTGATATCACTTAACTATACGTTTAATACATTTAAGTCAAGCTAAGGTACATGTGATGGTAGCTAGTTAGCGCTCTTACCTGTGAGGCCTCCTCCAAACAGCATAATAACCAGACTGTATCATTAAAACTAAGTACCAGTTATAGATCCTTGACTTTAGACAAACAATTCAAAAGACAAAATGTATTTAAAGACCAATCTTTATTTGAATGTGCCTCTTAACCTGAGATATTAGTTATACAGTAATAGTATTGACAATCTAAAAAAACTGAGCAACTCAACAGTCAACTTTATGTTTCTTATTGTCTAAAGCATTTATTATTTTCATTTTCCCAATCTCATATTCAGTGTGGACGGATTGAGACAGCATGGTGTCCAGAGAGCAGCAGAGACTTCAGGGAGAAACCTCCGTGTGATGGACGTCCTGTCTGTTGGTTTGGAGAGGACTGAGGGTCTTTCCTCTGCGAGGAGGACCAGGGCTGATGAAGGAGCCCATGCTGGGCAAAGCTGATACCAACTGCACAGGCCTAGTCGGTCACTTTATTTGACTAAATGTGTTTAATACATTTAATAGGTTTACACCTTCTGTCCATATGTGCTTTTTATTTAAAACATTTGATTAACTTTTGGTTCACATTTCAATAAATTGTATTTGTATTTGCACTCCTTTTGTCCATTATTCTTACTGAAAATGTTAGATTACACATTCACATCTGACTGAAGATTGGCCCCATTTATTTGTGACGTTGCAAAACAAGGTACATGTTGTGAAGCTCATAAAGTGAGGCAAATAGAAATAATCAGCTGATGGAGTGTAGATGTGGAAATAGCTGCATTCGATCAGCTGACTGTTTTTACAATAAAAGTAGTTTCTTAGTGAATGTCCTGTACTGGTCTTAAAATCTCATAACATCAGCTTTTAATGTTCCTCTTGGATGTTCTTCTTGACCCTCAGAGAAGGAGAAAATGTCGTGTCTTTCAGGCATGTCCTTTCCTAACAAAAATGACAGGAAACATAAAACATATTATTGCAGAACAAGTGTGTTATTTATGAAAGCGGTGTGTTTGTGTGTTTAGAGGCTGTAGATATAATTATTTAGTAATTGTAATGTTTTTTTTTTATTTCAACAATGAGCTACAAAGACAATCAGATTATGAATGAACAGTATGAAGTTCATCAACATTGAAATATATGTTATTATCAAAATAATATTTAACTGTTATCAAAACGTAGTGCAACTGTAGAAGCTTGCTCTGTTGTCTCACTGAAAGAATAACTTTTACCACGTTTTTTACAGACAATATTGAGAGATAAATAGCAGCAGTTCTCACTATGTGTTAAATATCTTTGCCTTCAATACATTAAATTAGAAAGCTGACAAAGTCATATTGCTTGTTAACATCTAAATGTAACCTTTTGCATGGAAAAAACCCTCAACTTAACTGATGTGTAGGTGATCTAGTATTTAGTATTGTTTAATGGAATGTATATCAGTGTATTCAAGTCAATACTTCATTTATTTAAACCAACATCTTTCTTGATTCTTTGTACAGTATGAAAAATAGAGTCTTTGTACCTGAGCTGAAGTTTACTGCTGTGAGGAGTCCAGTTCTGTCTCTCACTCTCTGGTCCAGCCTGTCTGCATCACCTGGACACCTTAAACAAACAGATATATATATATATATATGTAAAGTACCAACTACCAGTACAAACAATATAACTGATTCTCTTCTGTTGAACATGTTGGATTGTGTATTGTCCGAGTCAGGGGCCTTTTTATTTTACTGTAACTTTGGAAGTTGTGTTACCAATGCTTACTGTTTATTTGATACCCATTTGGTAATACAATTAATAAAAACAACAAGGTTTGGGTTCGTTCTTCAGATGACTGTGACGTTAACGTGTAAGCTCAATAATGAACTCCAGCTCAACCAACCATATTGTAATATCTAAGTAATCATCTTGAAATATGACATTAATAATTGTAATATACACACATCTTATTGTGAGGTTGATTTCACATACACTACTTCGACATTAGCTTGTCTACATACTTGAGCATAGCCAATTTAAATTAACCTTAGATGCATACAGTTCTACCTACATAATAAAATATCTCTAAGTTACAAGGATGTAACCTGATTTTATCAACCTCAAACAGAAGCCGTTTGTTCAACAGTATTATCCCACTTAACACTTGTCTATTTCGTTGTAAGCTTTATATATACAGTCTATGATTTTAACTTGGAGGCTACGATTACAATCGTTAGCACCGATGTAGCTACCACTAGCTTACATGCTAACCCAAGCCTTACCATTCATTACGTAGCTGATTAAAATCATTAACACATAAATAAAGCACTAGAATTTCACTTACCGCAAAACCGCATTCATGCACCGTCTGTTTTAACCGCAGAGCGAGTCACAATAGTCCGATATATAAGCATGAAGAACAAACAACCACGGCCGGCTACAAGTTGTGTTTCCTGGATGAGCTGAGCAGGCAGAGTCCCTGTAGCTAGCTTCACGGAGCAGCTAGCAGAGAGACAAGAAGCTAACAGCGGCAGGCACTTGACAGAGCCGTCACTCAATGTGACCACGCCCTAATTTATGCACAAACTTTAAGACCTAATATAAATAAAAGGGTCGCGTTAGAAAACAATTCACTCACAGATCCATAATCATGAAGGTGGAATCTAACTATATCGATAATAAAATGTATGGAGCCAGGGGTAGAAACATGTTTTTTTCTGCTGTAAAGTTGGGCATTTTAACATGGGGGTCTATGGAAATTGCTCCTTTCTGCAGCCATCGCCTATCGGCCAATATATGAACTGCAGTGTGTGGCACTTCCGTATTGGCTTCCCGGCTCTACCCAAGCCCCCAGGAAGTGCGCCGGACTCAGATGAAAATATTCGTGCTGGCCAAACGGCGGTACTACACTTCCGTTTGGTTGCCAGGCCCGGAAACACTTTTTCCCATTGACTAACATGGGGTCTGTAAATAGTTGGATAATTTTTTTTAAACTAAATAAACTACCCAGTATGATCACTTGTATAGCCCTTATTAAAAACATTCGTTCCTCAAGTTGTAATAATGTGCTAATAACGTTATTCTGAGAGTTATTTCCCTCTGCATTATGAACGCGCATCTAACCCACGGGACCGCGCCGTCCGGCACGTTCATGTTACGTGTCCCGACCAATCAGAGCACACTGTGCTCACAGGAAGGATGGGGGCTGGAGCTATTGGAGCTACAACGAGCCGTTAAAGGCAGAGAGTGAAATTCAGTGAATACACGTAGTTTACAGAGATGCTGTTTGAAAAACCAATGTAAGTTGCGTTTATCTTTACCCATGGATGCACAATAAGAACGGACCCATATCGTTACTGCCATCCCACGGAGCTGTAATAATGGATATATTGCACATGTTTGCTGTAATTCATTATCATACTACATGGGCTGTATGATTACATCTTGTACCGTAAATGTTGTATTAAATAAAGTTAATATTACCGACGTTATTAACGTCCCTGTAGCTTCGTATTACACTGTGTATATATATATACATACAGTGCAATAATTATTTCATGCTAAATGAAGCTCTGTTGCTTGGATTTCACTAGATCCTGTTACAGCGTAATATAAGTACATAACGGTTGATGTGGACATTAGCATAATGACTAGCTAGCCGCTAGCTGCTAACTGCGCCTCGTTAATAGCAAATCCATCATAATAACAAATCATTACCATGCTGTCATGAACGTGCGGTGCTGTTACGTGTACGCAAATTGACGTGCTTGATGTGAACGAGCATTTTGGTTAAAGTTGCGCATGCGCTATGAGCGCACATACGGGTACTTCTCAGGCATGCCGGGTAATCTGTGACGTTTCGCTCTCTCAAAAGTTGGGCCATTTTATCATATGCGCTAATGAGCAGCTCTCATAGGAATGAATGAGGCCCCGCCTCCCACGCTGTATCCAGTTCTTATTATACATCCATGGCTCTACCCCACAGTTTGCCGCTTGGTTGGGACATATTTCGCTGTCGGGTGTTGACCAATCACGAAGCGTCATTTCTTGACTGGCAGCAAAAACAACCAATTACAGCAGTGCTTCTCTGGCTGGCTCTGTCCAATCACAAACAAGAAGTGTTCTCCCTAAAGGAATACCCTTTCCGTCCAATGTGAAATGCTGTGGTGTTTTCTGAAATGCTGTGGTGTCTTGCACTTCAGGGCCACCGTACATCCAGTTATTTTAGCCGGGCCGGCTAACATTATTTGTCGTGCTTTTTACAGTACTACGGCTCCCACAGATGAAATGTTTTCAATTTGATGAACGTTTCTCAAATGTACCTACCCCACAATTTCACACACCTCTTTAACTCTATTTAAAATGTGATCTCAAGTTAACCACATTGTGTGTATTTACTTGAGGTTTATTCTTGCTTATGTCAACTTGGAATATACGATCATAATTGTACATGGATCGATCATAAAACCCTCGATCACTGACCCTCAGGCTAACCGCTGCTCGTGGAGAGAACTAGAAACCAGGAAATGAACCAGGAAATGACCTCTGGACGGTCCAATGACATCACAGCCTCGGCGTTCACTCATGGGGCTGAATGAGAGCAGCACCCTGACTCTTTTCAAGGATTTCGTGTTGTTTAATGGTCTCTGAGTCAAGCAAATCGCGCTGTGGATCCTTGCAAGAACGGTGGGGCGAACCGGGTCAACGGCATGTCGGCGGAAGGAACTTCTCCGGTAGGTTTTAAGCAAATTAACCCGGTGCTTTGCGCCATGCATGGAGAACCTTCTGTACTCGCTGTGGATGGCAAACGCCATTTCCGTATGCTCTGTCATTTGGAGAGCGGTAATTGGTTTATCCGTGTGTCGGTTCCAGTGCTTGGGTTCTCATTGGTCGAGCAAAAAGAGAGTTGTCAAACCTTGACACCATGGACACATGCGAGCTAGAAAAAGCTAATGAATATGTTTAAGAGTTGAGTTTGAAATGATAAATGTTGAGGTCATAGATTACGTTTTTAGGGTAATAAACTGCGATAACAGACTAGTAATATGTTGTCAACATTGCTTAAATAGCAAGCTGTAAACGTTACCCATCCAGTCGGCGTCCCTGTTTAACTTTGCAACCCAGAATGTTAGGACACTCCAAAACATATGGTGGTTAACTTCCATTAAGATATATAATGGGAATTGCAAAATAAACCACCAGAGGAGTTTCGTTTTAACTGCTTTAATAGCTTAAAGGATTAGCATAGCCACTGCAGACTTACATGGGTTAGGCAGCAACATGCCACATTGTACTGATTCGAGGGAGGATGTGGCTCATTGGTTAGTGTGCTGGACTTCGAATCAGGGGATAGCAAGTTCGAGTCCCATTGCAGTCAGCATGTCCTTGTGTCCCTGGGCAAGACACTTCACCCCAAATTACTGCAGACTGCAAGACACTTCACCCCAAATGACTCCTGTGGGGATTGTCCACAGTACTGAATGTATGTAAATCGCTTTGGATTAAAGCGTCTAACAAATGACATGTAAGTATAAGTCCTAAATACCGAGTATAACTATTATCCATTGAGCATCACCAGAAAATATACAATATTACTAGGAGTAGTTTTTCTTGGAGTCAGTTGATTAATAATTTAAACATTGTGCTGAAACGTATTATTAATATTCTTTTTATTATGGATACATATGTTCTATTCTTAATCTGTCTTTTATCATTGTTGGTTGGTTTTTAAAATTGTCGAAAAATAGTAATAAATCGCATCTCATCATCAGTGAAACCTGCAGATGTCATTTAACAGGGAAAACAAATTGTTTGAAAAACTGAGACAATAACGTTAATTATTTTTGTAATCAATGTTTATTTATATAGCCCAATATCACAAATGTTACATTTGTCTCAGTGGTCTTCACAGTTTGTACAGAATATCAGTATGACACCCTCTGTCCTTAGACCCTCACATCGTACAAGGAAAAACTTCCGGAGAAAACCCACAGTTTAAAGGGAAACATGGGAGAAACCTCAGGGAGAGCAACAGAGGAGGGATCCCTCTCCCAGGACGGACAGACGTGCAATAGATGCCGTGTGTAAATTGAAAAGATAATACATTTGCAACATAGGTAGTCCAAATGTTTGGAAATGCATGTGTGTATAATAGGAAGATGAATCCACGAGGATATCCATCCAGGACTTATGATCCAGGAACACAGCCACGACTCAAGATCCAGGGCTCGCGACACAGGACCGCAGGATCATCCATGACTCCGGATCCCAGCGTATATAGACACCAAAAAGAAAGACATTTGGGGAAGCTGGGTTAATTGGAACATGAGAGTACACAGGTATAGACAGAGAGAAGGAAGAAGTAAGATGTCCCCCGACAAACTAAGCCTATATCAGCAAAACTAAGGGCTGAATCTAATCAGCCCTAACTATAAGCTTTATCAAAAAGGAAGGTCTTAAGCGCACTCTTAAAAACGGATAGGGTGTCTGCCGCCCGAACACAAACTGGAAGCTGATTCCACAAATGTGGAGCTTGATAAGAAAAGGCTCTGGCTCCCATTGTACTTTTAGAGACTCTAGGAACAACCAACAACCCTGCATTCTTGGAATGCAATGCCCTAGTAGGACAGTAGGGTATAATGAGTTCTTTAAGGTAAGATGGCGCCTGCCCATTAAGGGCTTTGTAGGCGAGAAGAAGAATTTTAAATTCTATCCTGTGTTCTATAGGGAGCCAGTGTAAGGCAGCCAGAACAGGAGTAATGTGGTCCCTTTTCCTAACTCTGGTTAGTACACGAGCTGCAGCATTTTGAATCAGCTGAAGCGACTTGACTGACTTCTTGGTACACCCTGATAATAAAGAGTTACAATAATCCAGCCTTGAAGTAACAAATGCATGGACTAGTTTCTCTGCATCGTTTTGAGGCAAGATATGCCTGATTTTTGCAATGTTACGTAGATGGAAGTAGGCGGTCCTTGAAATTGATTTTATGTGGGCGTTAAAGGATAAATCCTGATCAAATATAACACCAAGATTCCTTACAGTCTCACTGGAGGCCAAATTAATGCCATCCATAGTTAGTATATCTTTAGATAATTTGTTTCGTAGATTCTTCGGGCCAAGTACAATAACTTCAGTTTTGGTCGTGTTTAACATCAAAAAGTTTAAGGTCATCCACGTTTTTAAGTCCTTAAGGCAGTCTTGAATTTTATTTAGATGATTAATTTCATCAGGCTTGATTGATAAATATAGTTGAGTATCATCCGCATAACAATGAAAGTTTACAGAATGATTCCTTATAATATTGCCTAATGGAAGCATATATAATGTTAATAATTAATTGATTATCAAACCAGTTGATTTCTCAAATGTTAATGAAATATACTGAGTTGTGGATGATGGTGTAGGCATGGCAATACTAAAGTAAAGTACAGATACCTCAAATGTGTACTTAAGTACTGTAAGTAATTCATTCTTCCACTGCTAATACAATACAATCCACTTTATTTCTATAGCACATATTAAAAACAGAGGGTTTACCAAAGTGCTTCACAGCAAACATAACATTATAATAAAATATAATATTACAATAATAGATAAAAGGCACACATAAGAATAGATAAAAGGCACATAAAAGCTATGGACAGACAATAAAAGCATACAAATCGATAAAACATAACTCAAACTGACTCGAAAGTGAGGGAAAAGAGGTGGGTCTTCAGGCGGGACTTAAACGTTTGAAGAGTGGGGGACAATTTGACATGGGAGGGGCAGGTCGTTCCAGAGCCTGAGGGCTACCGCTGAGAAGGCTCGGTCTCCCCTGGTCTTTTTCCTTGTTTTTGGGACTACCAGCCGCAGCTGATCAGTCGACCTCAAAGCCCTTGAGGGGGTGTACACCTGTAGAAGGTCAGAAATGTACTGAGGGGCCAGCCCATTGAGCGATTTAAAAACAAACGATAACATCTTAAAATGAACTCTAAAATGGACAGGAAGCCAGTGGAGGGAAGTCAGAATAGGTGTGATCTGCTCATGCTTGCGTGTTCCTGTAAGCAGCCGAGCCGCAGCGTTTTGTACAAGCTGCAGGCGTGCCAGCGAGGTCTTGTTTAGGCCGGCATAAAGTGCATTACAGTAATCTAGACGAGTAGAAACAAAGGCATGAATTACACGCTCAAAGTCTAAAAAGGATAAAACCGGTTTAATTCTGGACAGGAGCCTCAAGTGATAAAAACTGGACTTAACCACAGAGTTTATCTGTTTATCTAATTTAAAAGTACTGTCGATTTTGACGCCCAGATTAGTGACCATGGGTTTTGCATATGGTTGCAGGGTATATTTGCTAACAGCACAAACATCATTGAGTTTCTAAGTTTTACAAAGTAGCCTGACTCCTAGCAAACCAACATTCAAACTAATAACATTGGCTAAGGAACTCCAATGAGACCAATTCTAAAGCAATTGGATGCATGATCTCATATAATACATACAAACCTTTATCAATGATGTTACTCTACTATAATGTAATACAGATAAATATGTTTTATTAACTGATGTTAATTGTATATTAATCTATTTGGAGTTCTTTTAGATTGTTACTCTTCTCTCTGACAATTAGTGTGGTTTTCACCACTTCGAGCCAATCAAAAGCTTCCAGACACTTTTAATGACAGTTCTCATCATAATTGAGAATATCTTCACATGAAAGTGTTTAAAAAGTTGTCCAGCTCACTTACATTCTGGAAATGTTTAAAAAAGTGTGTAATTTTAAACATTGAGCAAGTATTTATATATATTTTCAAAGTATCTTTTTTATATGCAGAGGGACCTTATCTAAGATAATTTTGTACTGAAAAAGGCTGTTCACAAAATAAAACAACATAAAGGAAAGGGATTAATTGCCATTTTAAGAGTTTTAAGCATCATTGGACAGTTTTGGGCATAATATCACTTCACAGAATTATTGTAGCCTGCAAAATCATTTACGTTTTCATACTATCCCATGCCTACCAATAACACATATCGACACATTAAAAACTGCTTGTTTATGACATGCAAAGTGTTTGTTTAATTTAGTTTCCTCAACGAACCAGCAACATGTGCTAAATATGTTGATTTTACATATATGTATATTTCCTATTCTATGGCAGCTAGCTGTTTCTTTTTATTTTTTTATTTAGGAAATATAATGCCTTGCCAAGAATAAAAGTCTGTAACCCAAGTTGCTCGAGAACACTGGGACCACACCTCATATTCAAACCCTCCTCAGCGGCCCCTCCCTGCCTTTCAATAACGAACTCAATGAATCGGCACTTATCTTTTGGAACCAGAGATATCTGGGGTGGAGGTCCTGTAGGAGGGGAGAGAGGGAAGGAGGGGGTGTCCGGTAAAAAGACCACTGTATCTAGACAAGAGGCTATATGACCTCAGCTCCTCACCGAGACACAGCAGGCAGCCTCAGCCTCTCAAACACACAATAGCCTCCACAGTGCACAGACACAGAAGCATGGAGCAAGGACCTTACAAGTACATCAGGGTGAGGCCGGCGGAGAAAATGTTTCAGCATTACATAGAAAACTAGTTCTAGACGAGGTTGATAATGAGTTTGGACCATTGTATCTTTATGGAATTTGGCAGACTGTGAGTTTAAACCTTTCTTTTTTTGTCCCGGCAGGATGGAAATGGCAAGGTTAGTCGTGTCTTCCGGATTGGAACCCGCAAGAGCCAGGTACAGTTCTACATTAATTAACCAGAGCTTAACTTTGATTGCTTCTTTTTTATAAATATATTTAAAAAAGAGAGGGGCTTTTGCATCAGTGTATATTTAAATGTTTGAACATGAGCCTAAGCCAGTTAAATGTGAGTTATCTTTATCTGTAAAGATACAGCAGAGCAAGAAGTCTGGAGCTCCTCCCGCAGAGATAACGTAGCTCAGCCTCAACAATGTATTTTTAAGATAACATGATTTGACTGTCACTGTATGGCTATTTGAAATATATCAGCTAACATGTTCTTTTATCCCAGTTGGCTCGCATCCAGACTGACAGCGTGGCAGAGAAGCTGAAGGAGCTGTACCCTGAACTTAACCTGGAAATAGGTAAAAACCCAGCCTTTATTCTATATCACATGACCCTGTAGAGGTGTGGGCACATTTGGCTTGAATGTAAGACGTAAGACTCTGTGGAGATCAAATAAGATTTGTCCCCAGCTAATCTTGCTCACTACTTCATCCAGCCTCCTAAACTAATGTATGCCCATTAGTGAAATTCCCTTTCATCAGGCTGTCCCAGCACATCCCTTCTTAATGGTCAGTCTCAATCCTACCTTAAAGAGCTCATAATCAGCAACCAGCTTTCTATCAGGGAGGCAGACAGCGTCCTCACATTAAAGACTAGGATTATAGTTAGGGCTAGGTTAAGGCTTCCCTAGAACTTCCTCCAGTATCCTATTTGTTGGTATGTTTTACTCTTTTCTTGTATTTTACATTCTAACCTGTAATTTAAATATATGTTGTAATTGTATCTTGTCTTTTTACACTGTCATTCATATTTGTTGATCTATAAAGCCTTAGTTGTTTCTTGATATTGGGCTATATAAATACAAACATTTGATTTTGATTTAAAAGACACACTCTGTATTAACGGTGTGTTATGTCATCATTGACTGCTGACTCCTCACTACTCTTACAGCGATCAACAACGGCTTCATTATTAAATTCAAAACCTGCCAGTCAAAATGTCCGACGCTCCGATCGATTGACTGCCGATCATTATCGGCCGATATTCACTCTTAATAGTTTGATCGGTGCTCTCTATAAAGGCCGATCAGGAGAGCTGGATCTGATCGATATGGACATAAACGCGAGTGAAGTGTAACCGGATGCGAGAGAGAGAGATCAGATCAGCTGCTGCATAATCACCTGAAGCCCCGCCCACTGTTTAGCGCGCTGCATGAGAAACTGACGGGCTGTCAGGAGAGAGAGAGAGGGAGAGGGGAAAAGAGAGGATCTGTTTCTCCCGTGTTATTATTCAAAGTTAATTTAAACTTTTGAATAATGTACGTTATCTACTACAAGTAGTTTGTTTGAATGTAATAATTATGTTGTTTGTTGTGGAATAATTTATTGAAAAATGAATCTGAATTTTTCGATCTGTTACGATTATAAACTGAAGCAATATAAAAATGACTCCCATTAACTGAGTTTTAAACATCAGCATATCCGCTCATAGTCCGGTGATTACCTGCTAACGGAAACTCTGCTACACAATTCTTATTATTATTATTGAAACATGACCGGTAAGTTTCAAATTTGTCCAGTAAAATAAATTCTGTCCGGACATTTGACCGGCGAGAAAAAATCCTAGCAGAAACCCATGTTTCATGAGACAGTACTGGTGTTTCTGCAAGTTATATCTGGTTAATCAAATGTCTTCTCTCTTCCAGTTGGCATGTCAACGTTAGGAGACAAAATCCTGGACACAGCTTTATCAAAGGTGAGGCTTTTCATGGGGCTTTACATCAGCACACAGAACATTCTAATTTCTAGTTTACATATTAATCAAATAATCCCCAAAACATGCAGACTTAAAGCAGTCAGTATTTAAATGACATATAGTACATTACAGACTTTTATAACAATGTATTGCTCTCTACCCTAAACTTTCCTTGCCTTGCCTCAGTCAGAATCGCAGGTGTCTAATTTATGATATATTGGGAGACACTACAGGTGAATAGGGTAAACAATTATACTAATAGATATTACTACAATACACAAAACCAATTTAAATTACGACAATAATTTTCACTGATTACAAGTTTAAAAAATGTCTGCCTTTATTTTATTAAACATGTGTAAATATGGTTAAAAATGATTGTTTCATTCTCGTTGTCATTTTAGATTCAACGTTTTTTTTTAACTGGATATTTCTTAGGACTACAAACACACAAAGACAAACTAGTTGACATGTAATGGAAGCAAAATAAACTCATAATTGACCAAGGCATGAAAACAATGCTTTTCCCTATAGTGTTAACGCTTGATTACATACCATACATGACATGTAAGGTCAATTTTGATTAGCTTATAGTAGTAGTATATTTTTCAATGCAACAGGTAACAATGCACCCTAAATCCCTCTCTGTTTGTGTGTTTTCTCTCAATACAGATTGGCGAGAAGAGTCTGTTCACCAAAGAGTTGGAGAATGCTCTGGAGAGGAACGAGTGAGTGTTAGCGCTGTCATCTGTGGCTGACACACACTGGCTGCACACCATTGTTTCAACAACCAACACCGAGCGGTAGAGCTCACTGACAGGGATCACTTGAGACAAAGCATAGCGTCAGTTACAAACACTTGGGCCCTAGCCACACGGTGATGAAACGGGTCGTATCCGCTACAGTTCTCTATCTTATAGACCAGAGGTGCCCAGTACGTCGACCACTTCCACCCAGAATGGGAGGAAGAATATTTGTTTGTGATGTCACATTCAAAGGTTATTTGCCTTATTTGTAAAGCAAGCGTCGCTCTGCCAAAGAAAGGTAACGTGGAGAGGCATTATCGGAGTGTTCACAAGGCATATGACAGCGACTTCCCTCCGAGGAGCGAGTTGAGAAAGAGAAAGGTCATGTATTATTGCTACACAAACATTATCTCGCAGTCTTAGTGTCGCCAACTCGTTTCTAACATGCAAAAAGACAAAAAAAATGCGTCTATGGTCGGTGTATTTTCGATCTTTCCGATCCAGGCGAGATCTCTCTCTCTCCCGTCTGTGTGCGAGGGGGCGGGGCAGTTTACACACACGCAGCTGCTACATGCAGCAACACACGCCGGAGATGGCGGAGAGAAGCGCTCCAAGGTGTGGTTAAATGTTACCCGTCTTGAGGCGGACAATGCTCGTTGCCAAGAGTGTTTAGCATGTAAGGGCGGTAACACGAGCAATTTGTCTAAACATTTAGCAAAAGTGCTCCACATTCAGACGGAGGAATGCACCGGGTTGGACTGTGTTTCTAGCAGCTCTGTAGCGAGTAACTTTTCCATGTCAGGTGTTATGTATGCTAGCAGCACCACACGGAGTTAACTCCATTATATAAACATGGGTTAATGATTAGAGGTAACTGAGTTATTTATTTTGTTAAAGTTTCAGCTCTTCTGTTTACAGTTCTGTCAGATTATTTAATACGATTTGTTAAAACATTGTTGTTTCTTTTGATGTGAAATATTATTTATTTAATTTAAATAAAAAGCAATGTTAATTTTGTAAACAATTTGTTTAGTTAATTTAATAATATATGTATTTTTGAATCAAGTATTCATCTTTATTGTCTTCATTGTTAGTTTCCACATGCCTAAAACAACCTCAAGCTAAATCTAAAAGTTGATGGCTAAATAAGAGCGCTTGAGAAATTGTGCAAGGCATACAGTAATAGTCCGATTAGTCGATTAATCGTTTCATTAATCGATAGATTAATCGATTATCAAATTAGTCGTTTGTTGCAGCCCTATTATCCCATGTATAAATAAAACGTGTTATTCAGCAACCCTTGCAATTTGGGATTTTATTTTTGGTTGGTAGACCTCGGTGAGCTGGTCATTTCAAAAGTAGCTCACCAGCCAAAAAAGTGTGGGCACCCCTGTTATAGACGGTTCGGCCACACCAGGCCGACAGGGAAATGCGGATAACGATAACGGGTCCCAAAGGGGGTAGATCTGCGGACGCAACGCTCTGTGGGGCCAAACGGCTCCGTGAGGCCAAACGGCTCCGTGATTACGCCCTATACGATCATTTCCTGATAACGAAAATACTGACGGGCTGTCAGGAGAGGGGGAGGAAAGGAGAGACTCCGTATATCATTCTTATATTATTATATAGAGTCCTTATTCATTTGTTTTAAAGCTCAATAAATAACAAAGAAGACCTTTGACCGGCATTTTATAATTTTGTCTGGAAGATTTCAAATTTAACAGACACGTTGACCGGTGAAAAAAAATTCTAACTGAAACTCTGCCGCACGGTTCCCTCGTCCCTTGGAAGAGGCGGAGAGGTGGGTGTTTTTCATCTGCTGGTGGACTACCGGAGAGATTTACAGCAGGAGCACACGCTTGCCTCAGGGAGGGAGGAAAAGAGCCAGAGCCCTGCCTCTCCCCACCTCTGCTGCTAAATCCACAGCGGAGAATAAACAGAAGGGCAACCATGGTAACCATGCTCGGGAAGTCTTCTTCACTGCTGATGGTCTATTTTTTGGCGGAAGTACAGCGCCACTTATTGTTATTGATTAGTGCATCAGTGTTTCTTAGGGTCAAAAACACTAAACTCATAACTGAAAATGAAAGCGTTTAGTTTATTTAATAAAAGAGCACATGTTCAATGTGAAGAGTGACTGTAGATATAGATTAGTTGCAATTTGATTCCAAATAAATAAATTAAAATAATTTAAAAAAAACACCTTTAATTTCAGGGGGGGCACCCACCGTTGGTGGGGCGCAGCGCCTATTGCGTGTGGATGGAAGACTTTTTTGCTATCGAATTCGGTTCGTTTTCGTTTCCGTTTCTGTGTGGCTCCAGCCTTGGTGTCAATAGAAAGCTTCAGGTATACATGAGAGTAACCCATCCAGGTCCTTCCCATCTACGTCATGGCCCAGCCCCTTTGTGAGTCAAACATTCGCTGTCATTGGACTGGAAGTTAATACACATTCTGAGGTCCTTGCCAGTCAGATCAAAAAAAGTAAGAGTACCATGCATTATTTTTACTGAATGGAGTCTAAATATTATTGTCAGTCAGGAAAACAATTACACGATGATCGGCGTCAATATACGATTAAATTAAATCAATAGGGTATCCGTGTCACTGAAACTTGGATTTCCTTGGCTTGTCGGTGTTTTGGATTTCAATGCAGCAACTACAGTCACTTCTTTAAATTGTAACATTAAAACTGAGTAAGAAAAGTAGTATTATCGTACCAGTAGCAAGTATGAATTCAAAGCAGTTTATGCCAATAAAATCTCCCAAAAAACTCAGCAATCAGCTGTATTAAGGTACTTTCTTCTATCCACAACCCCCTCTCAGGACTCCATAAGAGCAGCTCTCTTTCATTTCCTCTCCGCCTCAGATGTAGCAGCTGCTGTGACCATGTTAAATATCCCCAGGACTGAATGGCTGTATTATACCATGAGACATAAAGAGCCTGTATATATGATGTAATGTTCCTGCTCTCTGTCCCACAGGGTGGACCTGGTGGTCCACTCCCTGAAAGACCTCCCCACCACGCTGCCTGCAGGATTCACCATTGGGGCCGTGCTCAAGTAAGTGCTCTCACAGTGGTGTGCAGTAATTCTGTTATATCAGAACCCAAAGACTCTATTTATTCCGGGGGGGATTTGGTATTGTTCCATTTGAATGAAATAAATAAAAAATGTTTTTATTTTTTTGTACATTGTACAACAATATAACACATATTTATTACAGTGCACACAAGGAAAAATAGTTTGAGTGTTCTTCTTGAAAATTATAATCAAACATTTGACCTTTTTACACCGGTTAATTATCTTTATCTCCCTGCTTTAAAATGGGTACTGATTTTTTATATTTTTTACTATGTTTGATTATAATTATTTTGCATTCTATGAATACTTTTTAATATATTCATATTATTTACATATTATTTATCTAAGGTTTTTTTCTTCTAATTATCAGTGTGTGGGAGAGAAACTCCCTCTGGCATCTATCAGAAATCTCATTGTGTAAACAATTTAGGAAAACATTAATGGTCAACCCTACAATATCATCACAATATCAAGATATTGATCAGAAATATTGTGATACTTGATTTTTCCCATATTGTCCAGCCTTACTGGGTATAGGAGCTGTGCTTCAGCACAAATAATATAGGACATACTACTTTGTAGTGCTGGTTGTCAGCTGTAACCATTCACTGTGCTTTCTGCTGATTTTAGGAGGGAAAACCCCCATGATGCAGTGGTGCTACACCCGAAACATGTTGGCAAAACTCTTGACACTCTGCCAGACAGCAGGTACAGTCCAACTACATGTGTATTTCACTCATATCAGAAGTATGGATAGCTCATCTTCATCCTGTGTGTTTGTGTAGTGTGATCGGCACCAGCTCCCTGCGCCGCGCCGCCCAGCTGAAGAAGAGGTTCCCCCACCTGCAGTTCAAAGATATCGTATCCTTTCTAGGAAGCAATGTTACAACATGATGATCACTGAGAATTAGATGGGAATTGGATTGAATTTACTACACTCTGCCCATCTTTAGCTTAAGTGTGAGTCTCAGAAGTGTTGTCCTTAGCCTTGTTCTCCAGCGTGGGAACCTGAACACACGTCTGAAGAAGCTGGATGAGAAGGAGGACTACGCCGCCATCATCCTGGCTGCTGCCGGCCTCGGGAGGATGGGCTGGGATGACCGCATCAGCCAGGTAACACTTCATGATCATCACAAGCCCTCCCTGTGAAGTCTCTCTGGGTCACCATTTGTCATTTCAAAGTATTGTTGGGTTGTATGAGGGTCTGATCTGTAGATGGTGGTGAGAACACCCCAGTTTGGAGTAACAGTGAAGAGTAAAAGTATTTCAGACATCTAAAAATATGTAAATTAGTCACGTTTAGGCTATATTTAGAATGGTTTCCCCATATTTCCTTGCCGATATAAAGGGCTAAAGGCGTTATATTTGCTGTCTTCAAATCCACCAGACTCCATTGACAAAAACTGTAGTTCTACCTTGCAGAACACAGGAGTCTCTGATCTCCCGCTGTCTCGATTGGTGTGTTATTGTGTGACTTTGGAGTTTCAATTGGTTCATTTCGATTTACCAAAGTTGCACAAAAACACACACAAACTAACCGATCAAGGCAGCGGCCATTGAGATGATGTTACATTTGTAAGGCACACCACTGCACTTAATTGTTAAAATGTCTGTTTTTTCAATGGAGTCTGGGAGAAGAGGAGAGAGCTTCCGTAGATAAGTACCTCATGTAACTAAATGTTAACACATCTGAGCTACACCCTTTAATGCAGGGGTGGGGAACCTCCGGCCCCCGGGCCGTATACGGCCCGCGAGACCATTTGGTGTGGCCCTCGAGGTAATTTATAAACACACGCAAAAAAGAAAAAAATTAAAGAAATCTAGACCGCAAAATAATTAAACAAGTGAGTGCCTGTTTTTCCTGGCCAAGGTCAGGGTCCTTGAACACAACACAAGCCTAACGTGTCATCACGTGGTATATGTCTCCTCTGGGGTGTAGTTCTGACGGAGAGCACCAGAACGCCGCTCCGCTCCGGCACTTCCAAAAATTGCAGTACCCATAAGGAGCCGTACACATGCTGCAGTTTTTGCGTGGCTGTGTCTTTAGTTGTAAGCCCAGTGGCGATCTGTCATACTGATCATACAGTCAATAACTTTGTTGTTATTAGCATCTGGTTAGCTAGCTATGCTAACGAATATAAGAAGCTTTTTCTACAACCAGTGAGGTAAAGGTACATCTTTATGATCATTATAGTTATAAAACAAATAAGAGAATAAAGTAAACAGGTATAAAATACTATATGACAGTAAAAAAAAGTTGTTATTAATAAACAAGAATACAGTTTGAAAGGAGAGTGATTTGTAAAATACCCATAAAGAAAAATAAAATCTGCTTCCAGTTCTGTTTCATATCGGTGTTGAGAGATGTATCCATAGATCTCCTAATGTTGCTCTCAAAGTGCACCAGATTGATGCTTTTAACTTCAACATTTAAAAAAACAAATCTTCCCGGGGGAGCATGCCCCCCGGACCCCCCTAGAGGAGGTTAGGTTCCCCCCACTTAAATCATGTTCACATGGATAGGAGTCTAAATACATTTTCACACATCGTGTGTCCATATCTTTCTGTTTTGGTGGTCATGCCACAACCGTGCACGTGCATGCATGAGTCATGGCAAGATATCTGGATTAAGAGGTTGCGTTTTCTTTGCACAGCATGAAAGAAAGGTGAAATTAGTGGGCTGTGATTTTAGTATTTTTAAGCAGAGGTCAATCATTTGTACGGCCCTCGGAGGATGTTGAGAACATTGAAATGGCCCTTGAGAGGAAAAAGGTTCCCCACCCCTGCTTTAATGCTTTATGTATCTTGGAGGATACAATCATTTGACAGGCTGTGTCCATGTGTAACATTGGTGTATTTTTGTGTAAAATGGGTATAATAATAAAAGTGCAAATAAAGTGTAAAATAGGTTGAATAACAGTGTGATATGGGTATAATATGGATGTGATAATGGTGTAACATGGTTGTAATAACGGAGTAAAATGGTGTATAAATGTGTAGTATACGTTTATTGTATAGAATAGCAGTCACTTATTTTTCCTAAATATTTATATGATTGCCCATTTAAGGTTAACAATCAAACTGTCTGATTTGTACACGTTAGATCCTGGGGCCTGAAGACTGTATGTACGCTGTTGGACAGGTAAGAACAACATGGAAAATATAAATATTAAATAAACAAAAAAGTGAAACACTAGCTAATAATGCCAAACTACATCCATATGTGTTCTTGAGGGGAATAATCCATGTGTGTGTTGTCAGGGGGCTCTGGCAGTGGAGGTTCGGGCCAGAGACTTAGACATCCTGGAGATGGTGTCGGTCCTCCATCACCCGGAAACTGTGCTGCGCTGCATCACTGAGAGAGCTTTCCTCAGATGCCTGGTACACAAACACACACTCGCATATAAACACACAAACATTGAAAACTATTAAGAAAATGTCAATCCCCATATATTCAATTTACCTGTCGTTTTTAGGAGGGTGGGTGCAGTGTTCCGGTGGCAGTAAACACTGAAGTGAAGGACTCTCAGGTAAGAACACTAGGCAGAGGCACACACGGTTTTGGCGCAGTGGTTAGAGCATTGATCATCAGATCAAGGGGCCTCGGCCGCCACTGCATCAGGCCTTGGGCAAGACACTCTACCCGCATTTGCTCCTGTGGGTAATGTCCACAGTATTGACATTTACATGTCTAATATGTGTAATATGTAATTGTAAAGCGCTTTGAGCACCTGTAAAAGCGCTCTAATTAAAAAATGTAATCCATTATTATTATTATAAACACATTTGGATAGCATAAAATGTGTCATTTGCTAAGCCCCTCTCCCTGCTAGTTACTGTTGCTATACCTGTCAAGCTTCATGTAACACACACACACGCAATTCACAGCAGAAATGCTGGCAGATTTATAACTAACAATGCTTAGTCATCATTGAAACCATTTTTTATATTTCCAGCTGATGTACCCTAACCCAAGACAAGATACAAAAATTAGAGTTACAGTTTAGAGCTGTAATAGTTAGCTTTCGGATCATAAATAGGATAAGTAAAATGTAGGAAGGTGAGACTGTTAATTTGTTTTAACATACTCACTGTATACAATAGAAAACTATACTTCGACACAGACGTTAAAATAATGATTTACTAATTTGAGAAGTACTTGAACTGAGGTCTTTAGCCTATACATTGTTAAAGGATTAAGATTAAGACAGAGCTGCTAATGCTAACCTACATATGCTATCATTGCACAGTGAGACGTCTGACATAGTGGAATCTAAGCACCAGCACTTCATTGTGAGTGAATACCCCACTCACATCATTGTTCCAGTCTCGAACAAGGTTTTTTCTAACGTGATCTGTAATTCTGCAAAATAATGTTGACTGATGTTGATGGTCAAACTGTTTTTGTGTTGTTGCAGCTCTACCTGACGGGGGCAGTGTTCAGCCTGGATGGCTCAGACAGTCTGAAGGAAACCATGCAGACAAGCATCGCTACGGATGACAAGGTAACAGCTCGATGACCACTGAAATTGTAAGAAACAACACAGCGTTGATCGTTCAACTTCACAAAGAGTAATAATTATGGGTTTGAACCAAACCCAAAGCATATTTTAACCTTGGGAAATGATTATCAATACAAAGCAAAGGCATTTCAGGAATGTTGTGCATGTAGAGCAAAAATGTGTCATAAAAGCCCATTAAGATCATCTCGAGGAGACTGACTTTGATTTAGAAATTGAGGAAAAAGTTATTGTGGTTGTCACAGCAGAACCTGCTTATTTTGGGTTCATACTGCTATACAAAGCCAGAAAATTCAGCAGCGTAAATGAACACACCTCACTAAAGGACTGGAGAAACTGCGAAGTGTTGTGTTTTTTTTACTTTTCCTTCACCATACCACATAGCAAACCTTCTGTTGGTATTGTTTGTGTGACAGAGCGTGGACGAGGAAGTGGACGAGCGTGTGCAGCGTGTGGGAGTGACAGCCAGTAAGATCTGCGGTGGCGCCCAGGACCGGGCTGAGCGGCTGGGGATCGACCTCGCCAACCTCCTGCTGAGCAAAGGAGCCAAGGAGATCCTGACGGTGGCCCGGCAGCTCAACGACGCCAGATAATCCCGCCCCCCTGGAGGAGATTGGGTCCTGGAGTGCAGTCAGTCACAGCCAAGTAAAATCTTGAATTCCTACACATTTGACTTGGCGCGAGAAAACGAACAACTTTGCTGCCCCTTGTGAGCTAAATCAAGAAAATATTGAGGATTTGAAACATTACTTGAACCAAAGTCCTGCATAGTTTGATCATAATCAGCTTGTTAAGAGTCACTATGGGTCCCAGCCTGTTACATGAATACCTCATGGAACCATCATCTGAGCCATTTAGAACCCGCCTTAATACAAAATGGCCTTCCAACATCGTCCTCAGCAATACAGTACCATCATTGGCTGATATCCTTACAATAAAATCCCTTTTTTAAAGCATATCGGAATCAGATTATTAAAATAGTATGCCACTTGAATTCAACGTTTTCGTACTCTTTTTCCCAACATAACCAATCAGTGTCCATTAGACCTCCTCTTTTGCTTTTTACATTCTCCGTTGGAAAGGCTCGCTTTGATGGTACCAAAGATTCCGGGGATGTGTGCACATTTTTTCGAGTGCCGTAGGCATACGCTGCACTGAAAATGGGCCTCATTTAGGTGTGAAAGTTGAGAAATGTAAATATAAATGTGAAAAATAGTATTTTTTCTAGAAGCTTCACATTTTTTCATCCAGCTCAAGTTGAATGCATCATTGTCAGCTATGGAGGCTATTTTAGACTATGCTAGTTCCCTTTTTACAGAGAAAGAATATATTTAATACACATGATGAGAACCTTGTGGGAGGATTTTGTTTTACTCCGTTGGTTAACGCTGGAGCAATAAATGCTACTTTTTTTGTGCACTGAGTTGTTATACTGCAAAAGATTGTCCTGTTCATTATTTGCTGATGTCTCTTAGAAGCACCAGTTAGGCTTATGATATTTAAATATGGTGTACATGCTACATTTGTGTGTAAAGTATGTAATCGACTGTTTATAAGGTATAGTACACAGGAGTGAACTCGTCAACTGGCAGTAGGGGTAATTACCGTTGTTAGAGATGTTAAGTGGCCAAACAAACCTTATTTAACTGAAAATACTACAGGCTATTTCTTTACATTATGAATGTTTACGGCTGCATTGCCATACTGAATAAATAGTCATCATTATGGTGCAATTTGCAACATACAAGTTTTTGGTGTAGTTCTTCCAAAGCATCTTTGCATTCATAATGCAAAGCTCTGCCTTCTGTATCTCATAATCACACCATATTTTTCTTTTAATTACAAAATAAAGATCTTGTCGTCATGAGATCGTATTCTTGTAATTATGGCTTCTGTAATTGTATCACATTCAATTACAAAATACATATTTCCTTATTACGTGATTTGAAACTTGTAATAATGAAAAATGGATCTCTTTTTTTATGCTTACAGTATATTTTTCTCTTTTACTATGAGATATAATCTCTTATATTAAAATATCCTATTAATTAGACTTTTTCTCAAGTTTTTAGATGTGGATGTCCTAAATAAGAGAATATCTCATTAAGATATACAGAAGTCATAATTACAAGAATATATACTTTGGTGAATGTAATTCAAATTAACAAGGAAATTAATGAAAACACATTTGTATTTGCTGTAATGCAAGATGCTGTAATCTTCATTATAAAACTGAAGTGTTTCCAAAAGCAAAACATTTTCAGACTTGTTTATTAAATAAAAATGTCTTGAATGCCATTTTTTGTGTTAGTTTCTATCAAAGTGCCATTGCTTCAAATGTCTTTCTGCATATCTGCCTTACATTTACAATGCCTGTTCTCCTTCATTCTGCATCAGTATACTCGCTGTACAGTTTTGTGTGATGCCATATCATATTTCTTTTTATTTTATAGTTCTTCATTGTATATTTAACCTAATTTAAACCTCCCGAGACAATGTTAGCCATATTTATTTTTCAGCTTTATTTTCTGTATGAATTATCATAGAATGTCTCTGTGTTCGGTTTCTTTACCACAGTATTCATTGTTGCACCAATCTTGTAATTGTTTTGCCAGTTCTGGGAACATCATGTCAAATAAAACCACTGATTTCAAGAAACAAATGTCAATAAAGCTATGTGTTAAACCTGTCGATTATTGTTGTCCTGTTTATTTTAATTAAAGTGGACCTATCATGCTATATTTGAAACATATATTGTAGGGCCATACCTATACAAAACATGTCTGTGAAGTTTTTTTTTCAAAATACCAAACAGATCATGCATTTTAGCCAGGTCTCATTTCGCTCCATTTGCTCTTTTCCAGCCCTGTTTTTGCAAGGGCTGATTCTGCTTTTGTGGCAGACTACAGCGCCACTTACAGGCCTGGCATATGTACTACAGCGTCTCCAGCGCTTTCGAGCAGTCTCTCATTCCCCTGATAGGTGGAGAGTTGCCCATATACTGTAGGCGGAGCACCCCTTTTCTGACGTCAGAAAAATTCAAATAATAATCAGCTCCGTTACAGCCCCATTTTTAGAGATTTGGGTATGGAGGAAAAGAGAGAGGGTTGTGTTTTCTGACACTTTGTGAGTTCCCTGACACACCGGGGACACATTCATGTATAAAAGACGTACAAAAGTGCATTTTGCATAATAGGTCTCCTTTAAGTGTGGAGAGCTCAGACTTGTGTTGCTGATGATTTACATCACTTTCCTTTCTTACCTATATACTGAAGACTTCAGTCTACAGTGAATTGAAAAACAACAATTCCCTCATCGGGGGGGGTAGGAATACATGTAACTTAATCCAAATCACCTGATATTTATCGAGGCAAAAGTCAAAATGCCCGTGTTGGTAAAGGAAAATCAGGGATTACCGAAGTCATAAGGGATCCATCATCTACATTAGGAAGCATGAATGTCTTCAAAATTGTACAGAAATAGATCTTTTAGTTTTTGAGACATCAATTAAAAAATGTCAATCTTCTGGATGGTGCTAGCAGCTAGGTGAACGGGATCCCTAATCATAATGTATCATAATTTCTAGGAAACTTGATGACAAATGGACATGTGAGTGATGTGACCTGCAGTTGGCACTAAAGGACAAGTCACATTATCTGTAAATACATTCCTGGGACCATGAATGTCTGTATAAAATGTCATGCCAATCAATTAAAATGTGTAATGAGTAAGATTTGAGTCTGGACCAAAGTGAAGGAACATCCAAACCAGCATCGCCATCATAGTTTGAAACTACACTTACAACCAGTGTTGTGCTAGTTACTGAAAACCAGTAACTAGTTACCATTACTAGTTACTTCATTTCAAAAGTAACTCAGTTACTTTACTGATTACTTACACCAAAAAGTAATGCGTTACTATGAAAAGTAACTTTTTAGTTACTTAAAAAAAAGGCTCCCATTAATGCCCTTATAGCCTTCGTTTCAGTACTGTTATTGCATTGGAGAATCATACAATCTGTTGATCAACTTGACATGCATTATATGCAATCTGGATTGCATCGATATTTGCTGGCTTTCCATTTTTGTATATTCTTTCTCCAGGTAGTTGGAAAAAGTGTTCCGTTCCATATGCCGTGTGCCGCCCGGACATGGTATCATGCTAACTAGCTCCCTGAAAGCGGGTGACTCCACTGCAAGCCCCCAGGAAGTGCGCCGGAGTCTGATGAGAATATTCGTGCTGGTCAAACGGCGGTACTACACTTCCTTTAGGTTGCTGGGCCCGGAAACACTTTTTCCCATTGACTTACATGGGGAAAGAGTGGTCTGTAAATCGTTGGATAATTTTTTTAAAACTAAATAAACAACCCAGTATGAACACTTGTATAGCCCTTATTAAAAACATTCGTTCCTGAAGTTGTAAACATGTGCTAATAACGTTATTCTGAGAGTTATTTCCCTCGGCATTATGAACGTGCATCTAACCCACGGGACCGCGCCGCCTGGCACGTTCATGTTACGTGTTCAGTGCTGAGTTTCTCTTTACCCATGGATGCACAATAACAACGGACCATATCGCCTTACTGCTAGCCCACGGAGCTGTAATAATGGATATATTCAGGGGCGCCACCAGGGATTTTGGGCCCCATGAAAATATATCACATTGGGCCCCACCACCAGGCACAGGCCACTTTGTTTATAAATTACCTCGAGAGCCGTACCAAATGGTCTAGCGGTCCGTATACGGCCCGGGGGCCGGAGGTTCCCCACCCCTGCTTTAATATAATAACATTAGTATTAATATCATAACCAAAATGTCTGTGATTAACATTTTGTTTACAGACTGATCACTCAATGTTTCAAACTGTCCATCATCCTAAATAGACTAAAAGCAGTTTTTTGTTTTGTATAGATAATTGGCTATGTGGGAAAATACTGTGTTTGAAATGTATAATTTAAATTAGATGTTAGCTTTTTGTTATATATATATATATATTGTATTCCAGTCTCCCTTCAGATATGTTAAGTGGCATGTCATTCAACACAATGCTGCTCACCTCCTTCAGTTGGGAGAAAAGCTGGTTCAGGTTCAGCCTTATGGGGGGCCAGGGGCGGACTGGCCATTGGGAATACCGGGAGTTTCCCCGGTGGGCCGGTGCTGTGTGTGGGCCGGAGGGCCAAAAAAATAAAAATAAATAATAATATATATATATTTTTTTTTTTGCCTAAATCCTACCGGCCCACATTTGTAAGTGTTCCAGCCCAGCCCAACCCAGCCCAGTGGGGTGTGGCCCACTGGGCTGGGCTGGGCCGTTTTGATAGGCTACCTTTGTTCTATCTATCAGTTTCAATGGATTGGCAGGGAAACGGGGTTCAGGGGGAGTGGCTGTACCCGTAGGATAGAAAAGGGGGAAGTGACGTCTGACTCAGAGGTCGCGCGGCTGTGGAGAACAACGTGTTGCCCACATTCTGTTACTGAGTTTAAGCTAGTTAGCTAGCAGGTCTATTGTTTTGGGTGCAGTCACTTTTGCCTCCACTTGCTGTTCAAATAAATGTTGAAAGAAAAAGTAAATCTGTTTACAGTTCTGTTTTATATGGGTGTTGAAGAAGAAGAAGAAGAATTGGGAGGGATGAAACCCTCTTTAATGGTCACACATGCAGAGCACACAGCACACACAGTGAAATGTGTTCTCTGCTTTTAACCCATCCTAGTACCAGGAGTCTAGTACTAGGAGCAGTGGGCAGCTATTGTACAGTGCCCGGGGAGCAATGGGAGTGAGGGGGAAGGGGATGTCCGGTGCCTTGCTCAAGGGCACCACGGCAGGGCAGGAGGTGAACTGGGACCTCTCCAAGTAGAAGTCCACACTCCAAATGTAGGACTGGTCGGGGACTTGAACCGGCGACCCTACGGCTCACAGTCCAAGCCCCTACTGACTGCCATAGATTTAGTCCCTAATTTTGCTCTCAAAGTGCACCAGATTGATGCATTTAACTTCAACATTTAAAAAAAAATCTTCCCGGGGGAGCTTGCCCCGGACCGCCCTAGAGGAGGTGAGGTCCACCACCTGCCCACACCCCCTGTTAAATTGTCTCACCCATATTGAGGATGCTTCCTACGCCCATGTTTTATTCCATGTGTCAAGTCAGGCAAATTGGGTCAAAATGTTATTGCATCAATGATCTGTTAACATTAAAATCACTAAATATATGCTGTAACTATTTTGCTCTAGGCAACTCAAGGGCTCAGGTAATGTGATTACTATATGAATTGTCCAAAATAACATGAAATGCATAGGGTTTTTTTATTAAGTAACATACTTTTGTCGCCGGCCCGGCCGATACATGCCGCACATTAAGTGGGCCTGTCTGTCAATTAATCCCCGGGCCACTTTGTCCCCCCAGTCCGCCCCTGGACAGGGCTGCTGAGCCTAAAGATGGATCTGTTGGACCTGGCACCAGGGGGAGGGACAACTGATTTAGTATGAATAGGCGCTAAAAATGTACCTGCATTTATTAAAGGTAGGTAGGTAAGAATGGAGAAACCAGCTCGAGTGCCCTTCCTTCAGAGTTCCTTACAGAGCCCCTCCTCCAACACACACGAACGCGCACATGACCAATGAGGGCACGAGATAAGCTTGTGCACAGATGGAAGGCTGACAGGCAGGTAGGCCATCCAGTCATTTTTGCCAGGCCAGCTCAGATGATTGGTCGTGCTTTTTACAGCGCCACGGCTTCCACAGATGACATTTTTGTATGTATTTATTGTCAAAGCATTTAATATATTCATTGCTATCGGGATGTTAAGAGCATTCCATGGAATATAACAAAAAGTGAATTACCTACCATACCTTTAAATATCAGCTAAAAGAGCAGTGAAATTAAAGACCTCTGAATTTTCTGTAAAGATATTAACAGTACTTAATGTCAGCTTAGTAAACAAAAAAACATTAGCTAACAGACTAATTTCCACCACTCATGGACCACACCCACCTTTTCTTGTGAAAAACTGGGTGACATACTGTCGCCCTTTAGTCCCTCTCTCTTTTCTTTCTCTCCTTTCTCTTCTTTTCTTAGAGCCTGACTTTGTTGGTCGTTGAAACATGGTACAACACACGTATGTAGGCTAAGTACTAGCATCCCTCCTCACATGCTTTCACTCTCTGCAAGTGCCGGTGCCGCACCGCGTTTGGAGGCAGGACCAAACCATTACATGTAAATAGAAGGAGGTGTACAGAGGCTTTGGGTAATTAACTTTTGGAAGAAAATAAGTTAAATGAATCGTACATTTAGTGAGTAATTTATCAATATAACGTTCTATTAATGTTAATTATTGAGGATTGATGAAAGGTTACTTACATTTTTTTTCTTAATGTTCTGAACATTTTGGGGCCCCTGTCAGTCACGGGCCCTTAGAATCGTCCTCACTTTTCACCCCCTTACGGCGCCCCTGGATATATTGCACATGTTTGCTGTAATTCATCATTTGTAAAATATTATACTACATGGGCTGTATGATGTAAATCTTGTACCGTAAATGTTGTATTAAATAAAGTTAATATTACCGACGTAGATTAACGTTCCTGTAGCTTCTTATTGCAATTGTTTTAGTTACTTGTGGGCTACTTAACATGAATAATCACAGTTACTATCATTTTACTCCATCACATTTCAAAAAGAAATAAGCTATTGTTA